TTCTCATTCCAACAGGTTTTAAAGCTGAAGCAAGTCAAAAATGTTTTAAGTAACTGAAGGTAACAGAAGTCTCATTTAAGTCTTGGGGCACATCATTGATGGAGCTCATAACTCTGACTTGCTTCTGAAATGTGGCAGTTGCTACATGTACTGTCAAACCTCTTCTACAATGTAGCTAACAGCCACTTCCCTCTCTGTAGCAGATAGTTTTTTTTTTGTCCAAACTACATGTATGGGTCGGAAGATTCATACACTTCACCTTTATTGAAACGTCACAATGACCACATACAATCATCATTCAGTTCAGCCCCAAGGTGTACACAGGGTTCTCACGAGAATTTTGACCATCTGTTGGATTGCAATTTACAGGTGTAACAGGCTGAAGGCCCTAGTTTGGGCCCATGGGGGCCTCAACCTCTAGGGGGCTCTGGGAGCATGCTCTCTCAATACATTTTTGAATTAAAAAAAAAAGGTAAAGTCTGCATACGAGCCAAGTGGCCCACCAGGCCCGAGCTTATCCCGGTTTCTGTAGCATGAAGTGACTAGGAGTATTTCTACTCCTCCCTGGATGGTATGCTAGTCCATCGCAGGGTTACCCCCAGTATTAAGTTCGCCAGTACCCATTTATACACTTGGGTGGAGAGAGGCACTGTGAGAGTAAAGTGTCTTGCCCAAGAACTCAACACAATGTCCCCAGCCAGGGCTCAAACCTGGACCGCTCAATCCGGAGACGAGCGCACTAACCATGAGGCCACCACACCTTTTTGAATGAAGATGTTCAGAAATGCATTCTCCTTCATTTTCAGGCAATATTTTCTCACTTTCTTCAAACATCTTTTCTGTACATTTTCGTTATCTGTTCATTTGCTCCTAAATTTGTTCTTTTATTTGCATTTGATAGACGAACTGTTCTGCTGATCAAAAAATTTTTTACAGCACTGCCGTAACACTTACTAGTGACACCTGTGACAGGTGTTATGGGTTATGGGTTAAACTAAGAACCCTGTCCACATGTCATCCTAACATTTTACTAGTACAACCAGTTTTTACAGGCTTGGTGGAATATGATACTAGCAAATCGATGATTAAACTATCAAGTGTGCAAAAAGAAAAAAAAAAAACATAAGGACACAGACAGGTTGGAATCTTGACCTTCCAATATTGGAATCTTGAGTCCAGCAACACCACAATATTATTATGCTACCAAATGTCCTGTGATCTATCTTAAAATTTCAGTCTGCTGTTGGCAGTTGATTCCCACCCC